CCTCCTCCCGCGAGCTGCTCGGGGTGAGCGCGTTAGGCCGGGAACTCGGTGCCGTGGTGCCTGACGTGCTCATCGGTGACGGACAGGTAGGTGGCTCGCATGCTCGGGGAGTACTGTGGGGAGAAAACGGGAAGGGGGTGTCAGCATAGCCCCAAAACCATGGCACCCCGCACCGAGCTCCCGTCCAACTCAACCCGACCCCTGCAGCGCTGCCGAGCTGACAGAGAAAGTCCGAGGATGGAGATTGCTTTCTAGTTTTATTAATCCCCAACTAATCTGCCAGGGATAAGGGGCTGGAAGGGAAGAGACCCTGCCAGCTGAGATGCTTCAAGTGTCTCAGGCTCTGCTTTGACGTCAGTCAGGTTTGTCCTCCAGCTTCCCCCAACTCCGTTCTGGAAGCAAATTCAGCCCCGGTCACCAAACCTGGATGGACCAGACCCTGTGGGGCTCAACACCAGGCTTGAGTTCCCCTCCCTGCACCGGCACAGATTGGTGCAAATCCTCACCACACCGGGAAGGGAGCAGCGGTGAGCCCAGGGCAGAGACCAAAACCTCCAGCCCCTCCTTCATGGCCAGAGGTGCAAGACTGAATTTCTCCTGTTTTTCGCAGAAGGGACGGACACCTCAGCCAGGCGTTAAGGAAGATTATTCTGAGTTTGTTATTTTGGACCATGAAAGTCCTTCCTCAGGGATCTGTATCCTGGTTAAATTAGATCATTCAGGGTGGGGAGAAGCGCTCAAATTAATCCGCTCCTGTGTTCATCCCCCCTCCAGCAGGGAAGAAGCTCGCCAGCTGCCAGGTCTGCACAAGCTGATTACAGCCCACCGCCTTCACCTGGTGGCAAAAACCTGCTCCAGGGAAGAGGCAAACACCGTATCCCTGTCCTGCTGCAATGGGGGAGCTGGGGGGGCTTTACCGCTTCGGCTGGAGGTGTCAAAGCAGATTAAATGCTGTCAGAGAAGGAGGAGAAACTGTGCCGAGAAGGGGATGGAGACAGGGACCATTTCCACTCCCAATGCACATAAATCCTCTCATGCCTGAGCTGGGGACAGAAGGTGGCCCCATCCCTCCCAAGCCCTCTGCATTCCCCCCAAAAATCAAACCAGCCCCCGGGGGGAAAAGGGAGTGAGGTGCTGAGGAGGGCAAGGAGGAGGAGGAGGGGAATCCAGCTACTGCCCCAGGATGAGGAGGGAGAAGGAAGCAGCTGAACTTACTCTTGATGGGCAACTTAGCTCCAAAATAATGGATGCAAAAAATAAATAATAATAATAAAAAGAAATAAAGCAGGCATTAACAGACAGGGAAGGTTTAAACCAAACAGCAGGGAAATGTAAACATGCATGGAGTGACTGAGACAAGTGTCCTTTGAAAATTAGGAGAAATAAGAAACGAAGTGGAGAAGGGCAGCTGAAGGAAAGGCTATTTTGGTTTCCTCCGAGCACGTGGCTGGTGACCTCTTCCCGCAGCCCCCAC